GTACACTTTGCAAGTCTCCGGTCCCTTCCGAACCGCACACGCACCACTTTTGCAGGTTATCCTTTGCATTACTCCAGCAGAAGCGGTCATAAACTCTCTGCAAGGTTTTTATTATTCCGAAGATTATTTATTATTCCGAAGTGGCCTCCTGTAGATCTGTTATATAGTTCTTTAGGGACATACCGAATCCGGAATCCTAGAAGCATCAGCTACTCTCGGAAAGTCTTTCCATCATCCTATTCGAATTCCCGATACAAGACGCTATTTCTAATATGGAGTGAGACACAGAGAGCCCAATATTGTTTTGTTATAAGACTATAGATCGAAATTTCCTCCCAGGTACGTTTTATGTTTGAAGACTCAATTAATTGAAGTATGGGTTTAATGTCGCCATCTTCCACCTGGTCTTTCCTGACTTCTTTGTCACTCCATATTTCTTGATCAGCTGATGTTGATGTTGCAATTTGTCGTGCGACAGTTCGTATTTCGCTTCGACAGGAAAGAATATCGGCAGCTTTCTGAGCAGGGTCTTCTAGACAGAGCGTCGGCATTCCCAGGTGAGGATCCCTTCTGATTTCGCAGTGTATATCCTTTAATTTCTTCCCCAAAACCAGAGGCTAGATTTTGAAGCTCTACTCGGCACGTTGGAGCTCCGCTTCGGGAAGAAGTGCTTAAAAGACCATAACAGGCTTCAGTTATAATCTCACCAACAGGAAGCGCAAGAATCACTCGAGGAGCTCGCCACGGATGTTGAAAGGTTGTCTCATCTCGCTTTTTCGGACTGAGTAACAAAAACAAGGGAAATACTGTCTCTGTAGTACTTCATCGATGGCATCCATGATCCTGAGATACAGAAAGCTCTGAGAATGGCGAATGTTAGCGGTTTCAAAAGCGCTTTAAAGTAGGCCATAAAATTCAAGGCAGCCAAGCAAGCAACTTGCAGAAACCGCCAATCAGTCAGAGCTGCTCAAGTTCAAGAGCCAGTGGATCAAAAAACTGCTCGTCTAGCCATTTCAACCAAGCAAGTCAATACCTTGACATGGCAGAGAAGAGGCAACAAACCGACTCTAAAATGTTGGAATTGTGGTACTGAAGGCCACGTACGAAGGAACTGCAGAACACTGTAAATAAGACGGACAATTTAACCAGACAAATTAGTACCTTGAGACGGAATAGAAGTGACAAGAAACAAACCCTAAAGCTCTGGAACTGCGGAAAGCCACGTACGAAAGAACTGCAGAACATTACACCTGGGCCACGAACCTGGGCCACAACGCAGGATTCTCCGGCAACGACGCAGGTAACAAATTAATCGCCATATCGCAGAGTGGTAGTTGAAGGATAATGGGAAGCCCCATTTCAAAGGACTTCAGGTTTCTCTGGTGAGTGACGGCAGGCGGGCGACGCGTAGAAGACCCGGTGTTTGATCTAAGGGTGCAGGTGCCGAGGGATGGAGGTTCGCCTCGTCTCCCTCAGTTCAGCATCGGCCTCCTCATGGGGCCCGCTGGGAACTATGCTGGCTTCGGCTGGTATAGGATAACGGTGCTGGACAACCAGCTTTGTGGTCCAACTGGGCGGTACCTCCGGAGCCGACCATTATTGGGAGGAGACCCGGTTGTTTCTTCCAGACCACTGGCTAAACATGTGTCTAAATAGCTACGGCCTGCAGAGTAAATAATCAGACTTCACAGTGACTAGAGCCCTAGTTCATACTAAGGCAGGTTCGGCTTGGCAGGGGCCATACTGGTACTGTCGTGTCTATTTCTCTGTTTGTGGTGAAGCTAGAGGGCAGATCACCGACCTAATCAACGGTGGTTTGGCCTCCATAGTCCCAGTGGCGGGGACTGACAGAGTGGACAAGTGATCTTCAATGCCAAAGGAGTGGTGCCTTGAGGCAAATATGTCTTCGTAATTTTATTTGTCTAGCGTTTCAATTGGCAACTTGTCCAAGGCTTTGTATAAAGCCGGGCTGCGACTGTGGGGTCTGCATTGCCGTTGAAGGGGTCTCTGAGGCATGGATAATTTAACCCCGTTTGGGAGACCCATGGTCATTCCTCAGGTCGGGTCGGGGTTCCTTGCTTTACGCTCTGTGAGTGACGGCAATAATGGACTCTTCATCATGGGACATATCAATGGAGTTCCTTGAAATAGGTGATCGATACCGGAGCGAATGTTACCATCATTCGGAAAGATTTAGCTCAACAGTTTAAAGATGAACTCATTTGTGCGCCATTTTGTGTGAATGCGTCTGGTGAAAAAAATCGACATAGATGAGAAGTTAAACGTAAATATCACGTTTGTAAGTGCAGCCTACTGTCAAACCGCATATGTGGCAGATCCCTTTATACTAGGATTGTACTTTCTAAGGAAATGTAATTTTTTCCTTGGACTGCATTCAGCCTCTGAGAACATCGCTATCCACCATCAGAAGGGATCCTCACCCAGAAAGGCCGACGCTCTGTCTAGAAGACCCTGCTCAGAAAGCTGCCGATATTCTTCCAGGGTGGAAGCGAAATACGAGCTGCTTAATCGGATCGCACAACAAATTGCAACATCGACATCGACTGATCGAGACACATGGAGTGACAAAGAAGTCAGGAAAGACGAGCTGGAAGATGGTGACATTAAACACACAGCTGAATTAACGAAGTCTTCAAACAGAAAACCTACCTGGGAGGAAATTTCGATATATGGTCTTAGAACAAAACAATAATGGGCTCTGTGTGACTCACCCCCTATTAGAAATAGCGTCTTGTACCGGGAATTCGAATCGGATGATGGGAAGACTTTCCGATGGCAGCTGATGCTTCCAGGATCCCGGATTCGGGACGTCCTTAAAGAACAACATAACAGACATACAGGAAGCCACTTCGGAATAATGAAGACTTTGCAGAGTGTTTATAAGCGCTTCTTCTGGAGTAATGCAAAGGATGAGGCTAAACGTGGGGCGATACGTGTGCGGTTCGGAAGAGACCGGGCAACGCGGCGGAGGCAAGCTGCAACGTGATAGCGTAGGAGCGCCTTTTGAACGTATCGCCTTTGACATCTTGTTACATCTGCCATGAACTGCTGATGGCAACAAATACATCCTCTTTGTCATTGATTACTTCACCACGTGGCCTGAAGCATAACCTACCCTTGATCAAGAGGCTCTCACAGTAGCAGCGGTAATGATACAACTCTGGATTTCCAGGTTCGGAGTGCCTCTTCAGTTACATTCCGATCAGGGAAGGAATTTTACCTCGGCTGTAATCAAAGAACTCTGCAAGCTACTCGCCATTGAGAAAATCCAAACGGCGCATTTACATTCCCAGTCAGACGGCATGGTAGAGAGGTTTAATTGAACTATCCTTAATAACCTCTCACTGGTTTCAGTTCTTCAATGCCTAATTTATCATGAAGGTTTTGATTTCGAACGTACCAGCGCGAGTTGGTGATCTGTCTTAGGACACAATTTTGTGCTTGCTGTGACGTTTTCCTATATGATTTACATGAATATGCCCAAACCGGAGCAGGCATAACATAGTATGGGAAGCAGTAAAGTTTTATAAATAAGCAACTTGTTATCTATTGAAAGTTCACTATTCCTAGAAATTAAGGGGTGAAGTGTAGCTTTACTAATTCGAAACCTTCTAAGGATAGATGTTATGTGTGGGTACCATGAGAGAGTTTTACTGAGTATCACCCCAAGATAAAGGATTTGCTTGACCCATGGGATATCTTCGCTGATGAGTTCCACAAGCCGATAAAGTTGGTTGACCGTCGAATGTCTGCTTCGGAATTTAAATTGGTGAGGTACGATTATATTATTTTGTTCCAGATGTTGGTTGATCTTGTTGAATACTACCGCCTCCATAATTTTGCTAAGTGAACACAATAGGCTTATCGGACGGTAGGATTCTGGTGAACTTGCCGGCTTCTTGGATTTCAGAAGCGGCGTAATTTGAGCCAATTTCCAATTTTCCTGGAAGTGCTGCCATCTGAGTAAGAGCTTGATAATCTTTGTGAAGTTAAGTAAGATTTTGACTGGGAATCTTTTTATCATCCTGTTGCTAATAGCATCGTACCCAGGGCTCTTGTTATTTTTCAGCTTCTTTACACACGAGCAGACCTCCGACGGTATGACTAAGATCGTGTTGTCTGTGTGTGAGCTTGTCGTATAGTTGTTATGAAAGTCAATAATTAATTGCTCTGTTGTGGGATCATAAATGTTGTTTATGCGAAACTGAGATTCTAGATGCTATGCTAAAAGTTCTGCTTTCTCAGTTCCTGTGTAATGGATCCTTTGAGGGCCTTTAAGGGGCGGAATGTTGTTGTGGTATATTTTGTACCTTTTGACAGCTAACCATATAGAGTTATTATCTACAGAGAGGGACTCCAGGTAGTTAGCCAAGCGGAGTTGTGTATAATAATTAGTGCGAGACTCGATTGCGTCACATAGTCTATTGAAGATGATTTTGTCCTGCCTGGATCTGGTTCTCTGAAATTGCCTCCTGGCATCATTGCGTTTCTTGATAAGTTGGTTAAGTTCCTTGGATCTGAAGAATTTAGGCTGTTTAACTTCTCTCTGAGCATTTTTGAAAGCATTTTGCACTGAACAGGTAAACTCCTTGATTAAACTATCAATGTCATTGCCTGAGTTGTATCGCTGGGATAGTGTTTATGTTGGATGTTGTTTAGAGCTTTGGAATAATATTGCCAATCAGTTTTAAAGGCTCTTTTGACTGGTGTAGTATAACTACTGATATCCAGTACTAAACGGACCGGATTATGGTCGGAAGATAATTCGTCGAATACAGAAACATCCAGCGGAACACTAGCGTTTCTGAGGAGGAAGAAGTCTAAGATACCGGTGGATCTAGTAGTATACCGTGTCGGGGTAGTTGGAGCTGCTATTTGGAAAGGGACCCTGTGGGCCAAATTGAATAACATTGTCAGTTGTGTTAGAATTATAGCAGTTCCACACGCGGTGCATAGCGTTCAGATCTCCTCCTACGATTATGTGTGTGCCAAGTGTGAGTAATGTGTTGAGATCAGCGTCAACACCTGTGCGGAGTTTTGATGGTGGTATGTAAGTGAAGACAAACGTATAAGTTGTGTTTGTTGTGATAGAAATAGCTGTAGCTTCAATGGCTGAAAGCTGTGGAATTGTTATTTGATAGTGAGGAATGCAGCGTTTAACAAGGAGAGCTGTGCTACCTCCTCTCCTCCTGTGCAGTTATATCTCTGTTGGATCTGTATACACAGTAATTTGCAACATAAATTGGGTTTGAAGTCAGTGTTCCTCTGGGAAGAATAGATCTGAGCTGTGCTCATTTATAAAACCTCGCAAATCATTAATCTTTACGAGATAAATCGTTTGCGTTCCATGTAATGATGTTGATACAATTGTTTACAATACTATACATTAAGCATCACATTTAGAACCAAAAATATTTTGGAATATTTCAAACAAAATAAACATCTTATCAATAGTGTGCTCTGCAGCTTGAAGCTCAGGCATCTTATTTGTAATTTTCTTATAATATTGGCAAATGAAAAACCTTTAAAAACGTCCACAAGTTCCTTAATAAATTTAAACATATCAGTAAAAACCTTCTGACCTACTTCAGTAGGTTTTTCCCTGCTGTTACTACTACTACTTCTAACAGTTGCATTTTAAACACTATAATCCGACAATTTATTGTTTACAGTAGCAGACTTCCCACTAATTGCATTAAACGCCTGGTATTACATTGTTTCTAGTGACATTATTTCTTTCATTTGACACATTAACTTTGCTTATTTCATTACTTTGTGCTATTTTGACGTTCCAAAGTAGGAAACTTTGGACAATCACGGTAATTGGCCAGGTGCCCTGTTGTTTACAGTTACAGCACATGACATTATCTATACGTTTGGCATTACAATTTGCAGTTTCGTGCGACTAAGCGCACTTGACACATACAGGCTTTAGTTCACAGTTATCTGATGAATGGTGGGAATGTTGTCAGTTATGACACTGCATAACACTTTCGACAGAATCGTAAGGGGTAAAATAAACATAAAAATACATGAAATAAGTTAAATTATGAATTTCCTCCACCCCTGGTACGTTCTCCAACTGTACTTGAAATAGCGGCCTCAGAACCTTTGTTTTTAAGTCATGCATTTGCGAAACTTTGCGTACCTTATAACCAAGAGCAACTATTCCTTCATGTATTTCGTCCTTGAAGACAATCTAGGGAAGTCCCCTGAAGAGAACTTTAATGGGTTTATCGACTTTACTGATTATCAATTAGTGATCAATCTTTTTATCTCCCAGGTACCTTGTAATTACACCCTATGGTCACTTTCAGTTTTCGGGAAAAATTGCAAGAATTCGCCATTAATTTTGGCTGCAAATTCTAGTCTTAAGTCGTTTTTTAATTTCTTAACAAAATCAGAAAAATTTTCTGCCGGTTTTACCATAATAGGTTTAACTTTTGGGGGCTCAATTTCAGATCTCAGGCTCACCCTGATCCATATTGTCATTACTATTATCATTTGTATTCAAGCCACTGAATGTATTGCTAACTGGGATTTCCACATTATATTTAATCAATTTAGCTGGCCTGGCCGCATTTTTCAGCAAAACAAAGCCATCAGAATCAGGTAATTTCAGTAGCTGACTTCTTATTCTTTTTAGATGGCCGCTTGGGCTTAGCATTAATAATATACACATTATCATTAGCATTATATTCAGAATTGCTAACAGAATTGCCTCAGAAAAAATTTCTACATTAACATCAACATTCTTACAAGCATTAGATTTAACATTTTTAAGTTTACCAGCCATAACGTTTTGAGTAATATCAGTAATACTTAAATTAACACAGTCAGGATTATATGCACCAAAAAACTCACACTTACCATTATATATATCCTTAATAGTTTCTCGGCAAACTCGCGTTCCCTGGTATACAAGTTCCGAAGAAATTGAATATGTTGTTCAGCACCTTCAGAGTTGCTCATTGTTTCCAAGCCCATATATATTTTGAGGTGATGGTGATGCAACGTAATCCTATTTTTTAACTTTTCAATGTTCTGTAATACACATAAGTAATCTTCTAATATTAAAGTTCCCGCATTTATTAACGCACCCCAATTATTTCCTAGATATTTATCTCCGAAACGATGCATTTCATCCGTTAACTCTAACACGTGATTCCTAACCACAGATGTATCCATTTTAGCCGTAGGGAGTTCGTTCCCCACCATAACACATGATCACTGATCCTTGGCAAAATATTACTACTTACTGCACACAAATTTTTAATTATTATAGACTCATTCCATATTCTAAAACCCAGCACCATATTTGGTTACTATCGTACGCTATCTTATAATCTGTCATTTTAGAATAGGCAGTACATGGCGATTTTCCCTGTTTACAAACCCTAGCAATGATTGTATGGAAGAAAGACGAATACTCTAATTTTCTAAAATTTCCTAATCCTCTTTTTGAGGTGATAGTGATGCAAGATTCATTACGAACTATTCAAATTAATACTTTATAAAGTCTTTAGGATTTTTGAAGTAGGAAGCACGAAAAATGAGCAGTGCCTTCGTCGGAACTCGAACCTGGACCTCTCGAATACGCGCCGAGTGTGCTACCGTTGCACCACGAAGACATGCAGAAAGGAGGGAGAAAATACCTTATGTACTCCCCCTTTTTAAAGGATTAGAGGAGCCAATCGCCAAAACCAATGGTGAAAAATCATCATCCATCACCTTTTAGTTCCGCGTCACTGTAGAATAATTAGGTTATTTTTAGGCAGGGATGGGAGAAATGTGCATTGCCCTCGCCGGAACTCTAACCTGGACCTCTCGAATATGCCCCAAAAGTGCTACTGTTACATCTCGAAGGCATACAAAAAGGAGGAGGAAAATATCTTATAACTTCAAACTAGGAAACAACGCTGCGAAAGCAATATGTATTATATAAAAAGAGGGAAATAAATAAAAAAAGCTTTTATTTAATAAAATCGATTCATTAATTATTTTGTGAGCTTAAAACAGAAGCTTATTTTATAAACACATCTTTATACCTCATTTTATTTTAATTTTTTTCAGTCTCAATGGCACATAATCCATCAAATTATTTAGTTGAAAAATTGTTTTTCTAAATTCAATAATTCCTCTTCTACTCCTAACAATTACGTTATATCAAATAGCTTAAATATTCCGGTGATTTTTGCTAAACAAATCCAGAATGAAGTTAAAGCTCTCATATGAACCTTATCTAAAAGAATTTTCCCCTTTATGCAATGGTGCAAACAGTAACATTCTGAGAATTTGATTTGTTCATTAAACGGCGTTATGCACCAAAAACCGTTTCAACACTTAAATTGTATTAACACTTAAATTGTATTAAAAGTATATTGTTTTAGCATTTTGTATTATATCCAGAATGAGTGTTGGCATACATGATTTAAGCACACACTCATCCATCCTCCACTGTAAAATCTGAATTTCGTAACTTATCCAGAAAAACGTTTGTCGTATTTGTTTTCTATCGCTGTGTCATTATCCGCCAAATGGAATTTTCGCTTCAAGCAAACTTAGAACGAAAAAGTGTTTAGTTTTAACGTGAATATAGATCTAATGCGTTGATATGCTTAGTATAGTGATGAAATTTATGCTAATTTTCTTTCTCGTTACATCGTCGTAAAGTACATGGATTTTCCACCTTCATCAAAGCACAGACGAAACTATTGTTCAATTCTTTCAGGCATACACACGTGTTGCATCCACCTTCTTGCTGTTGAAATGTTAAAATCGGACTTCAAGTTTTTGCTTCCTAATGTAAAAGATTGTATCCAGACGTACAATGTGTCGGCCATATTAGCTTTTTTTCTTGTTTTACTAGCTCCTTCATCGATAAGGTGGTGTTTATTTTATATTGGAGGAGTTTTTTTCTTAAGCTGTTTGATAGCGAATTTTATTGAGGACTGGAAGCCAAGGAAACACTTGAGTCCAAATGGAAAAGCAGTGTTTATTACAGGTAAGCAATTGGCAAGTGACAGAATCAGTAATGAATATTTCGCACTATGTTTGTAGAGACATTAGGATTTTTTTTTGGGGGGGGGAAGCAGGCAAAATGAAAAATTAGCATCGCTTTCGCCAGGAATCGACCCCGCGGACATCTGGAATACGCGCCCAGCGGGCAGACCACAAAACCAGAAAGGCATGTCAAGGAGGCGGGAAAAATACCTTATATACTCCCCCTTTTAAAGGGCGACTGGGGTTTTAGGGGACCCAAACGCGAAATCCTGTGTGTGGAGAATCATCATACAACTACCTTTTAGTTCAAGTGCCACTGTAGAGACATTAAGTATTTTTTTGGATGAAAAATATGCAACGCCTTCGCTAGGAATCGAACCACGAACCTCTCGAATACGCGCCTTGTGGGCAGACTACCACACTACGAAGGCGTGCAAAGAAGGCGGGATAAATGTTTCTAACTTTAATGCATTGTAAAATCGTTTTCTGCATTGTAAAACTAAATGTGCACTACAAAATTAATTAATTTAACTGTAAAATTAAAGATCTCGGAGTTTTAAATTTAAAGCAGAGGAGAAATGTCCATGCACCGTGGTAAAAAAAAAAAAAAAAAAAAAAAAAAAAAAAGGGAGTAGAAAATTTATTTTCCTTTTTACTTTGTCTTTCGACAAAATTCAGTTTGCAATGACTTAGGACACACTATATTGGCTTTTTTTATATCATTGCTCTAACATACCTATTTTCACAAAACAACGGACTTTTTCTGATAAGGCGTGCAGTTTTTTTTTCTTATTTCGAATTTACACCATAAATTACGTAAAAGTAATAAATATATGTTTTTAAAATCGTATGGGTAGTTTTACATTTATTTAAATTTCAAACTGAAGCTTCGTTTTCAACCCAGCGCTGAAGTGACTTGACTTCACGAATTTGTAAAAGTTGTTACGAGTGCGAGTTTTCAAAAACTTAAGAAATTTTTAAAAGAAGAAGAAAAGAAAGAAAGAAAAACAAAGGAAAGAAAAAAGAAAGATCTCAAAATGTTCATATTTTAACGGTCACCCAAGAAGGTTTGTTAAGGTCTTTTGTCATCCTCTCACTGAGCTCGCAGTTTACGAGTCTGTTGCTCTCACTCATGCTAATCCTTTCTTCTTATCTCTTTAGTTTTGTTATTTAGCATAATTTTATTCTCATATACGCTATACGCAATTTAGCAGCAAAATTACAAAAAATTTAAAAGTAGCATATGTTTAAAATTCCCTACGCAGTATTACGTTTTGGTACATGCTTTTCTACTTATTCAGTCTTTTCTCATATTATCATATCAATTTTCTTCATAAGATGATTTGCAAAATTGTTTTTGTGGTTTTATTGTTAACATTTTGTGCGTTAAATTTATTAATTAAATATCATAAATTCCTTAAAGTTTTGCAAAATATGAAATATAAAATTCGAAATTAAAAATTCAGCCTTTCAGCAGCACATCTGCGGGGGGAGGACTACGTTATTCAAAATCTGTTGTACTTTGATACTGTCTTTTCATAATGCGAGAAACATACATACAGGCAAATTCTTCATTATTTAATTTCTTTAAAATTAATACAAGGGGATAACATTTGGTTTCAACAATTTGAAAAGTGATACAGCTGTTTATAGTGAGCGACGCTAAATCTCGTTTCGAGACCAATAGAGATTAACGCCCTTTTGGGCTAAAAAGAAAAGAAAATAGCTTACTTGAATTCTCTTCAAATTTTAATAATTTTACTTGCCAGGAAATTAGTAATCCAGTCATAAAGATGGTACAAAACGAATGTTTTCTTTATACAGAATCACAACATCATCAAATATCCCTATTGCCTCAGAACAGCTGCCCGTGTATGTTCTGGTCACTAATTATGAAAAAAAAAAAAAAAAAACCAGGAAAACATTATACCTATTCCACTACAGAAAACCTCCGATAGTGAATACAAAAACCAAAATATATTGAATATGATGTCTATCTTATAAGATCCGGTTATTGCTATCTACAGAAAAACAACTGGGGCGGGAATAATCACTTCTTAAATAGGAAGTTGAATGTCATGACTGATATTCAAGGCTTCTTTTCCATGGATCTACCTGATTGCATATATGACAACATATTTTGTGATGATGAAGGATATCGTAGAAAAGGCAAATTCACATCTGTTGTGATTGACGAATCATTGCTAAATTATTAACAAATTTTACTTATTTTATTTTAAAACTGACGTAAGTTGCTAAGAATAAATCTTTGTGCGGTTAAAAGGTTTCTGCAAAATGTAAGCTTACTAATGGCTGTTTATAATAAATAGATAAGTTTGCTGCACAATAGTAGTTCGAGCTGTTTACACTAGATTTGAAGCTGTTTGAATACGGCAAAGAACACGAGGGCTGCCTGTCTAAAGGAAGGGATGCCTTCATGGAGGGCGTTCCATGGGATTATAGCTCGTGTTCAGGTTACACAAGGCGAAAACCAAAGAAACCTACCATGCAACCAACCCGTTCGCCTCGCATCGAACTCCTAACATTCAGCGGTCTTAATCACTCGGCTATTGGTATGACCTGCTCCTGATGCGAATACAAGCCAGTTTTCCTCAGAAAGTCCTCGACGAAGGCTCTTTTACCTGTAATCAGAAAAATGACACGTGCTTTAATTTAATCACCTGAGAAATTGTAAAAGTGCTGATTTTATTTTCGGATCTACAAAAACTAATAATACTTCAAAAATTAAGCCTCTTATGAAGTAAAAGTGTTTACTATAGCAGTTACATTTACATGTACTTTTAACGTAAATTTTCAAATAAAGCACTAAAAATTTTTATTTGATGCTGGAAATCTGCTAACTGAAATCATAATCAAATTGGACTAAATTGGAAGAAATTAAGTAATTATCTTCTCTGAAGTGTATCAGCTGAAAAGTTAAAATTATTAAAATGCCCAGTTTGGGCATAGCCTTTTATGCCGCATGAAAAGTAGGTATTCTGGTGGGCATTTAGAATAAGAGAATCCATTATCATATATTCGGGTGTAATACCATAATTTAGTCCTCATTTTAAATTATTTTTTTTTCCTAAGCTTTGCATTTTCTATTGCGGTAAACTTTGTATCATTTTATAATATTTTAACTATATATATATATACATGTAAGATACAAAATATGAAAGCAAACTTCTAAATTTAATTAACTATAAACTGTCTTATTTTTATTTCATTTGGGAACTTCATCTCTCTGTCTTAAAAATGGCGCTATAAATTTAAACTGCGTCATTCAAATTAATCATGCGATTTTGCTAACCCTTAATGCAGATATCTCTTGCCCAATCAAAATAATTGCAAACCAAAACCTTTTTTGACTCCCACCCTACTTCCTCTGAAATATTGCGACACACTCTCTCTCTCTCCTTTCGCTTAAGCTTTCATCCTGTTAAGACGCTTTGCTGCGATCATCTTTGTGCTGCTATGATACTTCTAGCTGTATAGTATCAAAATTACGAATGTTCTAGAAGTGGGCACGATTGAGTGCCAAGTGAATTGTGGCCACAAAATGTGAATTTCAATAAATATGACATGCAATTCGGCCTGACTGTTTATTCTTCATATTAAAATGGATGGACGCTCTAAGCATCACGTATCTACGCCATTAGTATTTCTGTGGTTCTACATCTCACTGTTTCTTACATTCAGTGCTTCAAATATGTTGTGCTATCATTACATATATATGTATATATGATATTGTAATCTTGGTCGATGATGAAAACAATTCACTTTCTAGTCATGGCCGAAAGGACTTCTGCGTAGATGAATTTGAAATTGCGGCATAGTGGAATGAGTGGATGGAATTTTGGAAGAAGTACGACCCAGCTTGATAGTTAAACATTATTTATTTTTAGATGACGATTTTCTTAGCACATATCTTCATAACTGGTAGAAGAACATGGCTGCTAAACGCCTCCCATAATTTAAGATATGCCATCACATTTAAGATAACGGAAATTATCTAGCGACACTTTGTCAGCAGTAAGACGAAATACGCAATTAGTAGCTATTTCTATTCGAAATTTTGCTTTAATCTGATTGGACAAGGAATTATGCGCAATGCAGATGATTGCAGAATTAATTTCCAGATAAGACGCGTTTTGAAACTAAAAAGAGGAATTAAGAGCTAATTTAAAGTTTAATCTTAAGTTATATAACTTTTCTTATGACAAAACTAATTGACATAATATTCCTTTCATCAACCTACTTTTAGCAACTAAATTACTCTAAATTTTACAAAAATACATTCACCTCTTTATAAAATTTTAAGAACGTCTGTTGCAGGTTGTGATACTGGATTTGGGAACGCACTAGCTCGTAGATTAGACAGATTGGGGTTGCATGTATTTGCTGGATGTTTGTTTCCAAAGGGGAAGGTGATGAGATTTAAGCAAACACTCAAATAGACTGCCTCGTTCACATGACGTGACGTCCGACACAGCGTTCAGAGCCAAGATTACATCAAGAGACAACTGGGAGATAACAGTAAGTAGTTACAGAATTTTTTAGTTTCGTTTCCATAATTAAATTTCATCCAGAAGCTACTATCCGTAAATTCGTGGAAATAGAATCGCAAATAGAAAACATTTCTTTTTTTCAATAAAAATAACCAAAGGAAAAAAATCTTAAAAACGTTAGCCGATGTTATAGCTTCCATAGTAAAAATAATAACAATTAATATAATTGAAATCGTATTTTGAGTAAAAAGGCAGATTAAAAACCTTTGAAGAAATGGTGTAAAATACGTTTGATAAGGAAAACCTTATCAAACTGATCTACACGCACACGAACATACGTTTTAGTATCGCTTATCAAAAGGGGGAAAAACATATTATATTTCTGTAACAGCTTGTTTAAACCTATCAGTAGCATCATGGCTAAAAGACTACTTGTGAATAATATCCGTGAGGGAAACTAGGATTGAAACATATATATTTCTGTAATATTTTATTTAAACGAATCAATTAAGAATTAACAATTAACATCAATTAACTCCGTTCTTTTATTTCACAATTTTCTGAATCAAGTCACATTGTAAATATATAGATTCTTACGCCCTCTGAAATAAATATAGTTTGAGACATCCTCTTTAAATATACGTAAACTCATATGCTTATATATATACGCGGCACATATATAAACACGTCACTCATATATAATACCGGTGTGGTTATATATCAACGGTCCGAAATGAAGCTGCTTCCATATTCTTTTGCAAACAGTGTTTGGAGGTCACCTGAGCTGTAACAAAATTTTAAATTTCTTAAAAGCCTGATTCAATTCAAATTATACATGTCCTGTAAAACTTTATGGTGCTATTATTAAAATAATGAATGTTTCTCAAACACAAGAGGTCACCTGTGCATTAATAAAACTTTTAATTTCTCCAACGCAGGATTAAATTGGAAAAGCAAAAAAAAATTTTATAGTTTTGAAAACATTTATAATACAGTTGTATTATTTTAAGTTTTGCTAACAATTAAGCTTAAATTAAATACTATTCTATTTTTCTTTTGGACCACTTCACATACATTTACCCAGACCAGACCCTCCGGGGGGTCGACGTTGAGCGCTCTGTGCAGGACTGGCTAGGATCTGTATCTAGGGAGTCTCGGCCACGAGGGTATATATTCACTCGTCATGGGCCGGGAGGTGTATGTCCTCATCCACCAGGGTATTGGTAGCCAAATAGCATTTGTTCCATTGAGCGTCCAGTCACTGATTCCTTGGTATTCCATGTAAAACCTAAGGATAGGGCATCCCGCGTAGCGCTGGCAGGCAGCCAACTAACGGCCAGTCATTGCTTCTAGTTCCCCACCCCATCGTGGTCTCTGACCTCTGGGACGGTGGTTCTGATACGATTAGTTTAGCGGTGGGTTTGTTAGAGGGAGCCTAAAATAATTAGTGTCCCGGGGATGTGGTACCCTGGGCCCAGCTGGAGTGTAAGACCATCTTCGGGTGGCTATTGCTGGTTCGCCAGTTCCTGTAATGTCATTCAGTTAACGAGGCAGGTACGTATTCTGTTACCGTTACCCAGACAAGAAGGTTTTACAAATAAAAAGCTTGGGCAATAAAACTTAAAGCAGAAAATATCTACAACTCATACTTTATCGAGCGAAAAACCGTCTTGCAGTTGGTGCTCAATCCGGGTATTTGAGTTCAAAAGAAAATGCATTGGTGGTATTAGTGGGAGGTAAAAAACTGTTTCTAAAACTAAAGAAAGGAACTAATAGTAGATCAAAATAAGTAGTTTAATTGTAGTTACTAAATAACTACACCGTTAAGCCTTAACAGTATTACAAAAGCGCGAGCAAGCCAGTTAACTCCGAATGACAACGCAAACAAGGGTTGCCAAAAACTTAATAAACTCAATTATACATTCTTACTATTATTCTTTTTCTTTCTTTTTAGCCAAATGGCTTTTATTGGTCTCGAAACGCGATTTTGCTTGATGCACGCATATTCACAAAGCATACAGACCATTTCTTCTATGGTCTGCTCTCATTTAATGAAACATCTGCTTGGCGGTCATATTTGGAATGGCGAGTTATCGCCTTGTTGGCTTGGTAATCAACGCCAAGCATACCTTGTGGGCTTTCAGTGAAGTGAGGAGAAACAGCGATATATATTTCGATAAACATTCAGTAAACATTCGATAAAGTTTTATTTTATGAATGAAAGCTAAGTGGAGGTTATGTGGAATATATTTTAAATAACCCACTGGTCTTATTAATAGTTTATTTGTATTTGGTTAAAGAATGCATTTAAACTGTTAAAAGTACGATAATTGTTTGGTGGAAAGTGTTCAGGTGGAAAGGCATATGTACGTTTTCGTTATTTCTGTTGGAAAGAGTCGGTTGTGTAAATTTAAACAGTGCATTAATTGATACAAACAAAAGGAATATTAAAAAAATAAACCAAATGAAAACATACAATGAACATTTAAGGGCGTTGAATATCTTTTCTTTTTACTTAAATTATGAGTAAGCATAATTAGAATTATATTTTATTCTGTTATGCGCTGTTTCAATTGTAACGCTTTTCGGGATATTGGATCTTGGATCGTAATCTTGCCACTGGTACCTACTACAAAAGAGTACAAACCAGTAAATAAAAATGAGCATTAACAAAAGTAGAGAAAATAAAGGTGTTAAATTTTTAATACCGTACGCGAAGGCGAAAAGGTTAATAATGACAAAGTCATTCAACAAAGTGAGGATAAAAATAAAAATAAGCTCGTGCAGAGTTTGTAAAAGTCACGAGCGGGTATACAGTAGAACCCACGAAATAGAAATCTGTGAATTTCATCCGTACTCCGTACCATTGAGCTACGGCTTTTGCGTTGCTATGCAAGCTTTTCGGTACACCACGCTCATATACAAATAGCAAGGGCGATTAAGCAAAAGCCGCCAAGCACAAGATTCTCTAACCCTACGTTTCTTGTTTTAACCAATAGGAGCAAGCAGTAGAAGAAACGGTCTGTAGGCATTCAGAAAAATTTGTTGCCATTCAGAAAAATTTAAGATATTATTCTTTTATATTTACTCTATCTGCTACTGATAAACAAACTAAACAATTTGAAATCAACAAATTCGCTTTTTAAGAATATTATTTTTTTCCTTTATAATCTGATTGATTTAAATAAAAATGCATTTAATTCATGATGTATCTGATTAAAACCATTACATATTTTTATAGAATTACTTACATATTTTTTCACTTTTTAGCAGACAGAGACATATAATGCTGCCATGGTAGTCCAATTGCATACTCACCTAATATACCATAAAATACTTCCTAATACTCCTTGTGCGATCTCTATTGATAATTTATGCTGATAAACCATCTTAAATCTTAAGAGTCCTTTTGGGCGAGCGATAAAATCTGAACTGTTTCAGAATTTAATTTCTTGATTTTTCTTCTACCTCTTCCCCCCCCCTACATACTTTAACGGAAGGCAAAGTCCTGTTGTCCTAGGCTGGTAAGAGGGATATTAGACAGGAATACTAGTTATCTTATGTTAAGGAATTTGATTGTAACCTTTGTGCACGTCAAAGCTCTAAATAAATACTCAATCTTATAGTTCGCTTCCTTTTTAGATGTTATACAATAAGAATAGTCAAATAAAATCTCGAATATTAATCTGTGTAAGTCTTATTTTAATCAGGGCGATAACTCGCTGATATTTAACGAAGTAAATCCCTTGAAGCGCCGTTAGGGTGAGAACATTATTCAGATTAAATGCTAGAGTTAAATATTGAGTCGCAATGTTAAGGTATGAGTCGAAATGTTTCATGACTAAAAGCATTTGATGCATGATATCGAAAATCAAAATGCTGCCAATGAAGAAGTGATAAATCGGTCTATGCTAAACTTATCTCCTATTTTCAAGAGTTTTAAAATATCGGTAAAAAGACGCTGACGTCTGTAAAAATTATAATAATTTAGAGTACAGCAAAGAACACATAGGCTGCCAGTCTGAGGGAAGGGATGCCTTCACGAAGGATTCTTATTCACCTAGTGGCCCTAACCGGTTTCCCCATACATTGCTTTGAAGCACTGGCAATTCTTTTGTAGTGACCAAAACATTGGGTCATTTACCATTGAACTTAATGGATTTTGACACGATCTGTTGTAAATATTTTGTAATATGCATATAAATTCATATATTTTCTTTTCTATAATATTTCAGAGTTCTATTTTAATATCGAAATACTTTAAATAGTTCTTGACTTTCTTTGAATATTTCTGAAAGGGAATAAAAAAAGGATTTTTTAAAATATTATTTAAAACTTGTAACTGAGTTATTATAAAATGTTTTTTACCATTAATTTTAACAATACATATTCTGAAAAGAATACGTTTTTTAAACATCATTTCATTCTGAACGGAATTAAATGCTGTACTTTTCACAGAACAGTTTGCTCAGAACGGTTTAATTTGAATAAAATATTTTCACAAGTTTTCATTAATTACATTAGAAAAAAAGGTTAAGGTAATTCGATTTTATTCGGTTAAGGATTACAAAAATTAAGATCAACGCTTATTGTATAATGAATTATTTCTTCTTTATTTATAGAGCTCCTTCCTAAAATACTTTCAAATAGACTGATTTTTTGAGCTTGGAGGATCTTTTAAATCGAAAAAATCTAAGGCATTTATAATTAATGTTCTATTGTCCATTTCACATTAGAGCAATTATTTTATACCGAAATACTTTAAATAGTTCTTGACTTTTTTGAATATTTGAAAGGGAATAAAAAAGATTTTTTTAAATATTATTTAAAAACTGTAACTGATTATTATAAAATGTTTTTTACCATTAATTTTAACAATACATATTCTGAAACTCTTCTTTATTACTTCCTTAAGTACACATCTCATAGAATTTGCTTTACAATACCTTTTAACAGATTGCTTTCCAGTACGAACAATTCTTGCTGAAATAGCTTTATAATGTATCTGTTAACAGGATTTCAGTTTACGTTTACAATTCAATGTTAATGCTATTATATATTTAGATAATATTTATAATCGTTATAAATTTAGATATATTTAATAATTAGATTTCTTCACAGTAACTTTCACTGTTTATGAATGAATAAACCCTTCATTTCAAATACATTTATAAATAATTTAATAAATATTTATGTATTTTGTTAAGGGCAGATACATGCTTTTTGCAAGCATATGCATAAATTCACATACATATTTCACATTTTTCATTTACGGCATGTGCAAATCTTTAATTTCTGTGCATTCACTTTATTTTTCCAGTAAAGTAATTTACAATAATTTAGCATATACCCAAAATGTTTTGATAAGAAATATGTATACAGCAGTTGATGGATAAATTAAGTATCCTTTACTTTTATAACAAATAAACGATTTGCAACAAATAGCAGATTGCTGCCCATATAATGCATTTACACAAGAAGCACATTTTTGCAGAAATTCTCTGGATCATATAACCAGATATGTAATAAACCATTTGTTATGCACATAAACTTAAAGCATTTGTATGCAACATGCAATCGTGTTCTTCAATATTAATATCTATAGGTGACGAATTATCATTTAAAAAATACATGTCACAATAATATGTGGATGACAAAAAAATTATTTTATTTAAAATATTTTGGCGTTTGGAACAGAAAATAAGAGTAGAGAATACTGTATCAAGGGTATCGAAAGACGTATACAATTTTAATTGTACCGTAAAGTATTTTTCATTCTTTAAGCGTAACATTTTCGCTAAAATCTATATTTTTGTGGCTCAACAGCTTATAATTTTATAAAACAAATTCATAATCAAAATCGCTTTTGTTAGTTATCGAAAAATAACCAAGATGTGATTTTTGCGTAAATGTCACTAAACTATACAAATTGCTGGTATCCATCACACAATGAAAATGTTTCTTTTATGCGAAAAATGTCCCGTTTTTTGATTTGCATATGGACCTGTCGTGTGTTAAAATACTATGGAAGCGCTGTCAGTGGAGCTTCTGAATGTAACCAAAAAACGCCCCATCTGGAGACCGAAGCTTCGGAGCAGTGCTTCACTGTTAGTGCCTAGCTGGCCACTCCTTCCTTTCTTACCTCCATGACTTCACCTCTCGGCTTTTTGTGGGCCTAGATTCTGGAAGGAGAAAAACAAGAACAATGATATCTACAGGATTTTTCAGATCAAGATGTTTGATGTAGTGACTTATGAGAAGTCAGTATATAAGGTATTTCTCCCGCCTTCTTGGCATGCCTTCGTTGTGTGGTGGTCTGCACTCTGGGCGCATATTCCAGAGGTCCGCGGTTCGATTCCCAGATAAGACGGCTGCTCATTTTTCATTTTCCTGCTTCCAAATTACCTAATGTCTCTACACTGGCGCCCGAACTAAAAGGGTGGTGGATGATGGTTCTCCACACCCAGGATTTGCGGTTGTGTCCCCTAAAAACCACAGTCGCCCTTTAAAAGGGGGAAGTATATAAGGTATTTCTCTCGCCTTCTAGGTGTGGTGGTCTGCACCTTGGGCGCGTATTCTATAGGTCCGCGGTTCGATTCCCGGCGATAGCGGTTGTTTATGTTTCATCTTTCCTGCTTCCAAATTACCTAATGTCTGTAAAAGTATAGCAAAGATGAAGTTTCCAGCATGCGGTAATACTGGAATGCGAAGACAGTATGTTAGAGGGCGCATGCGGATAAATAAACTATGCTAATTAAATGGCAACTCAGAAATCAACAGAGGTAAAAAAAACATTAAAATGTCCCGAAAAAGGTAATAAGATAAATTTAGTTTATTCATTTTCATAATAATCTATGTAAATTTTGTTATTATTTCAGTTTAATACAGTAATTAATAAAGATAATAGGAAAATTAGTGTATATTAAAGACTATCAAGCATTTTAATTCCGCAGAGCATTTTTTGTTTTCAGTATTGTTAGACATTGCGGAGAGTCATATCATTTGAATTTAGAGCACTAAATAAAATTTAACGGTGTTTTATATTTATTGCCCAAACTATCAGTTGTGCTATAAACTTCTTAGAAAGTTCATAGCAAATGATTCTGCGTTTCCAAATTAAATCAGTTTAATGTTCGAGTAGCCCTTTCTACCAGTAAGCCTTCTATTCTGTGATGATTCGAATAAACATGAGAACCTCGCTACGGTAAGAAGTCAATAAGTGTGACAATGGAGAGATTAAAAAGTATCTAACATTAAAATTGCATATACATTTTAAGATTTGGCGATAAAATCAATCGAAGATTAAGCGGAACTAAGTAATAAATTCGTAATATTAAGAACAGATTAAAAGAAGGTGGATTAATTAGTTTATTGTTTTACTGAGGGTAATTATGCATTTTCAGAATGATTTTAAAAAACTAAAAAAAAAGCAAATATTTTGGATTAAAATATTCTGACAAGAGCTTTTTATTTGAAATGATAAATACAGTCTGCTACTTTTAAATTTATTCTTCTTTCGAATTATCGAATGTAAACAAGCTGTGGGTTGAAGGATATGTTTTTTGCGCTTTCCAACGAGAAATATTCCTATTCGATAATTCAAAAACTCTCTGAAATTTATGTCATTAAAATTTATATGTGAAAATTAAAGAATATTATTAACAGGAAAGTGAAAAAGCGTAATTAACTTTTCTGCATGGAAGGAAGATACTAAATGAGTACCCGAAAAAGGTACGTATTTTTTATTTCTAAAGTTTCTAACATTAAATGATTGATAAAAATACAAATACCGTCAGTGCACAAATCAGTTGGAAATTCTTTAAATACATCTGCAGCAACAATAAATAAAGTAATAATTTAAGATTTGCAATTTAAAAAGTTAAAAAACATAATGTTCACCAGTTGAGGCATGTGGCGTAATGCAGAACAGTTTCTAAAAGATAAGCAGGAGATTATTGGAAATAATTTGTGACCTTTGATGATGTCTGGCTTTACTTAAATAACTGCAACAGAAAAAAAAGAGGTCTATTTACTATCGCCAAACGATGAGAAAAAGTATGCAAACCTGATTTCGTCAAGGAAAAGAAAGTTTGAGTAGGGGCCTTAGGATTGTTTTAAATTTCGTCTGTCCCGAATAGTTTTAAATGCATTAAGAAAATAATCATCAGTCATAATAACTAAAAGGAATTTAGTATTTTACCATGAAGTTTAAAAGAAATGATAGTCTTACGAAACAATTAATTAAGTGGATTTCCACAAATTTAAGTAAGGTAAACATCTTCTGCCAGAGAATGGGAAACTGTTGAAAAAAAGCTATCAGTGATGTAACACTTGTCAATAAAAACCACACTTTTGAAACATTTTTTACTATTTTATTATAAGGCCCAGAACATCAGGTGTCTGAAAAGAAAATGAATGAACATGGTTTTGTTAATTTACTTCAGACTGACTTCTAGTACATAAATCACATGTTTTTTGACGCAAAATAAAATGAGACCATATTTGTTTATTATATTCCATTTTCTTCATTATTTCTCTCTGAAATATATATTTTTGCGCCAGATGTAATAAATTTGAGTTACTATTATCGCATATACTGTCAATAAAAATGTATTGGTTTTCTCATTACCTTTATTCTGTTTCTAAGAATCTCATTTTTGTTTCATGTAACGAAGTCTTGTGGACCATTGTTAACAATGCGGGCATCAGTGCTGGTGGAGAAGTGATTTGGACCAGTATGAATACTGTAAAAAAGATATTTGATGTGAATACTTTTGGTGTCGTCCGCGTGACAAAGGCTTTTCTACCGATGTTGTGCAAATCTCAAGGAAGAGTGATAACAACCACAAGCTTCGTTGGTGAGACATTTTTAATTTCCAAATAACAGTTGCCTTGTATGTGATTTCTATTAACCTTTTAACGTCTAATTATAAGCATTTCTAGGGATAATTACTGTTATTCCACTGAAGAAATTTAAAATGTTAAATTTACAAGGGCGAGTCAAATGAAAGTGAGCCAATGCGAATATATGACAAACAGAGTACTTTATTTAAAGGTAGTCTCCATGAACATTGAGACATTTATCCCAGTGACAAATGAGCCGCGTGATCCCCGTCTTATGAAACTCCTTGGGCTGTCGATTCAAAAAGTCTGTAACCGACTCCTTCATGACGTCGTCCGACAGGAATCTGGTACCCTTGAGATATTTTTTCAGTTTCTTGAAAATGTGAAAGTCGCATGGCGACAAATCTGGGCTGTATGGAGGATGTTGCAGCGTGTCCCACTTGAACTTTGCCAGTTGTGTCTTAACCACATCAGCGACGTGGGGACGAGCATTGTCCTGTAGCAAGATCACACCATTCGTCAATCTTCCAGGTCGTTTGTTCTTGATTGCGACACGCAGCCGATCCGGCGCTGCACAATATCGCGAACTATTGATAGTCTCTCCACGTTTAACAAATTCAATCAGTAATTAATCAGTAATGCTTATCCTCCGTTCTTGTCTAATCAGCTCATCAACCTGTGCAATTGTGTCGGGGGTGATTGCAAGGTGGCTTTGGCCCGGTCTTGGATCGTCTTTGCAACTTTCACGTCCTTCTCTGAACCGTTTGCTCCAACGCTTCGCAGTGGCCAATGCGATGCAATGTTCACCGTACACATACGGCGACTAATTTCATGTTGGGAAACACCTTCAGCTGTCAAAAACCTGACCACACCACGCTGTTCCTCTTTTGGAGCGTCCATTATGTCATGCTACCGTCTTCAACACAGTGTAAGAGCACCTTAAAGAACTTTAACCTCACACTTTCGCGCCACTTTCGTAAATGAAGGCTGTCTCTGTGCTACGCGCATTCGCCGCAGATGATGGACCGAACCATTCTTGCTGAGGAGGGGTTGGCTCACTTTCATTTGACTCGCCCTTATAAAATTTTTTTTCCTGCTTTTATTTCCAATGAAATAAATTATTTTGGACAGGAAAATATTTGACCAGCATTTCAAGACTTCAATAAATTTTTATTTCTTTTGAAGTTTAATGAACAATTTAAAATGACATCTAATGGTTTTTCTTTGCATATTGTAAGATTTATCTCTTCATTTCCACATACACTAACTTAGATCCTACAGTGAACCTGGCGAATTCTCGCACAAGCGTGAATTAAATACCAGCACAGAAGAAGGGTACAAAATAACCCTTTAATAAACCAAACTAAATTAATAGAAAGTACGGACTTCGTGCATTACAAAACACCATTCACTTGCGGCAGTAACTAAACGTAGATTATAATACAAATCAAACCTGAAAAATAAACGAGTGCAAGACCGCACTTCAAAATTACTCTAAGAGATGGACTCTCAGAAATCTATCCGGCGTGATACTAAACTGATAAGGCCAAGAGGCTTACGAGCATGACCGCGAAATAACAACGAAATGTGCGCTTGGCTAGCGAAACACGCTCTGAATAAACTGAGAATAATCACACGTTTAAATAGCACTTGACATTAAATTTACATCCTGGCGAGAGAATGTGAGGGGGAGTTTGAGAAGTTGAGAACAGGAAAACTTAAAATAAATTTTTTGTGCAAAATAAGAAAAACCCTACAATATCAGCTTAAATTATAGGCCGTAATTCAAAGTGGTTATTATTAAAGTAACCCTACTCGAATCTAGAACACAACTGTATCTATTATCGACATATTTTGTTGGAAATTGGTACTATGCGAAATATGGACCACTAAAAAAAGAAAACTGCTATAAAAATAAGAGATCAAATTTCAACGACTAGTTGAAAAACGGTGCATAAAGAACAGAAAATAAAAATTTGAAATATAAAACTGTATTACACATTAGGACAAGGACAGTGTGCATACCATTACATCAATCGTATTGTTCAAAGTGCAATAGTAACAGGAAGATTTTGAGCAACTGCAGTAACTTCTGGAGGAACAGGCGTGTTCTTCTTGTTTTGAATTAAGATAGAGTCTGTATGTTTCCTCCTTAAGCACGATCTGTCGGAAATCTCTTCAACCCAATCACAGGAATTCAAGTCCGAAGAACGAGGATGTCGGGCATCCCGAAATCATTCGAAATTAACCAACCATCTGCGTAATGAACACAAAGTAGTTGCTGCACTTGTCGGCCAATATGATGAAATGTTGTGTTCTCTTCCATGAAGATAGTATAGTTTCTAAATAGTCTTGTTCTTTTAAGAAAGGAATGACTTGCTGATACAGTAATTATAGACATATAGACATATAGAGTAATACAGCCATATAGACGAATAGTAATTCAGTGTCTAGCGCCAACTACCAACACCACAGAATAACTGTGAATTATCGTAAGGAGTATCCAACATTCCTAGTAATATAGCAAGAATCAACCATTTAATCAATTTGCATTATGCCAACCAAACGAATTATGTCTATTGTCTGTACGCAATATGTAAATAAGGACCATCTGTACCTGTTTATAAATGTATCTTAAGTACCATCACCATGTAGTTATGTTTTATGTATGTAATATGTATAATGCACCCAATGATTCTATACTCAATGTAATTATGCGCCTTGTATTTGTATATATATGTTCTAGTATAAATGTTACTGTATTGATCATTAACTGTATTAATCATTGCTGCATTATTGTATTAATATTATTTAGCATCATCAAATTAAAAGCACCAATTGAACCTTATTACGTACATTCAAGACTACGAGACTAAAGTACTATGTGCATTAAGATTGTGAGCCCAATGATTACTATGTGCCTAATACTATGTATATATATCCTCGTATGTATGAGAATGTAACCATGCATCCAAATATAACATCACGCAACATGACACTATACCGCATAGTGTTAATCTAAAGTCTTAATTCTAAAAAATCCATTGCATTAACTAACTTCTATAGCATTATTATTATATATATTATATATATATTTGTTTATATATTATGTATCGCCTGTATATGTACCATGTATATAATGCTTATAAATCCAATGATTACTGCGTGCCTAATAATTGTGTATACGTGCTTTAGTATGTATATAACTGAATCCATGGCTTCGCGCATATCATCCTGTAGTATGGCACTGTACCACACAGCGTCAAACTAGGATCTTACACTAAAACTAACAGCACCAATGAATTGTTCCAGCATTGTACTAAGTATCTTATGTATTATGTACGTATATGCATAGTGCATCTAATAATTATGTATCTTATGTTAATTATGCACCTAAATATTTGTATATTTTTATATATATAGTATTAACAAGTAGAAATGTTACTGTATTCATGCGCCAGTATTTAACACTGTGTAACATGAAGCCGTTTCGCATAGTGTTAAATTAGAATCTTACTATAAAATTACTATAAAATTAACTGCATTTATCACTTTATACAGCAATGTATTATGAACCATCTGTTTATATATGTATATGTATACCATGTACCTAATGTCTGAGAATCTAGTGATTATTATGTGCCTAAAAGTTGTGTATATGTATATTAGTATATAAATTAGTTTATCCACCCAATCGTCTACAGCATCATGTAACATGTAAAAATAACAGCACCAATTACTTGCCCTAGCATTGTATTAAGAAACTAATATATGAATATGTATATGTATTATGCGCCTTATGTATATGTACCCAATGACAATTATACACCTTATAATTGCGTATAAATGCATTATTTTTAAAATACTGTAAATTAATTACATCAATTATCCTCAACGCACTCTACAATGTACCATCTGTTCATGTATATAAATGTGTCATGTACCTATTGATTATGAAATCGAATGATATAAGCATTGTAAATAGGTATAGCATTGTAAATAGGAAAACAGTACAGCATTGTAAATAGGAAGCTATACCCATGCACCCGCATACATTTCTACGTAACGTGACACAGTAAGGCAAAATATCAACCTAGTGTCCTATTATGAAATTAATAAGCACCTATTACTAGTTATAACATTATTTTATCGATCTAGAGTTTATGTAAGTATATGAAGTAAGTACCAAATGTTTATGTCACCAATGACTATTGTGTACCAAATATAAGCGTATATATGCTTTTGTCTATAGATAATTGTGTATGTCCTTGTTTATATGTAATTGTACCCATGTATCTACTAGTGTTATCATATATCTTGGCACTGTATAGTTAATATACATCTATTACGCACTGAATAATCATGTACCTAATGTGTCTGTACAAAAAAAATGTCTGTATATATGTACATGAATTTATGTTCTGTATATATGATAATGTAACTATGCATCTGCACATTTTATCCTGTAACACGGCACCGTATCGCAAAGATATAACTAGAGCCTCACTCTAAAATTAATTGCACCAATTATCAGTTCAGCATTAAGTACCTATTGTTAATGCATGTTAAAGTAGCACTTACCTAACGCTTGGGTATTCACTAATTACTGTGTACCTAATACACGTGTTTTAATATCTTTGTACATTGGTTAATGTACTTAGAAACAGTACAAATAATTCATTAGCAAGACACTGTACGACACAGTACTAATCTAGGGTTTAACTTTTAATTCACTGTACTAATTACTTATTCCAGCATAACATTGCGCACCTAATATTTCAGTATGTGCATGTCTTCTGTAATCCAATGACAATGCTTCAAAGGATCATAGTGTACTCAATATATGAGTACACAAGTTATGTATATATGCTACCGTATCCATGCTTTTGCATACACCTTGTAACATGGCAATGTATTATCCAGTGTCTAACATTAATTAGCTTTAACGCCACTGTATTAAGTACCAAATATGTATTTATATTTATGTATTAGTATATTAGCACAGTGAACACGTATGTTTATCTAGATAAAGGTGGACGTGGAGCTATACCGATTAACCGTATTGGTAGAGGGGTGGTGTCCACGTCCTCCGTCGCATGTCGCATGATACAGTAATTTACAGTAAAGAGCAATCGCGATGGTACAAGTTTTAGAATCTAATGAGTATTTCACCTCGAAACAAAGTAGCCAAGAATAATGTCATCGCTAATACCACATCACACATAATACAGGACACACGTAATCAGAACATAGCAGCTTTCAAAGTGGGATTCGCATATACCATATGCGACAGTTCTGTGTATTCACTTGAAAAGGGGTAATATGGGCCACAAGATGTTCTACAGAGATGCATTGTCGATGGCTACCCACGCCAAAAATTCATAAATAATGTCAAGGCAATGTTGTGGATATCTAAGATGCAACTTACGTACCATGCGGATCATGTATAGATACCGCTCTAAACTGTATTTCAGAGTTTTTCGTATTGTAGAGCAAGGGATAGATAAATCACGCGACACCACTTAAGGGCTTGTATCAGGAACACCACGCTCTGTCAACCACAGCTAAAGCTACTTCTTCCACAGTTCCGTCTGAAATTTGTTTCCATCCACTTTCTAGCCACACATCCAGCTGCCCAGTCTCTTCAAGTTTAGTAATCATGATTTCAAAATCATTTTTCGACATCTTTTGCAAGCTTTTCATTTGTCGGTATTCCAGCAGAGCAGCTAAACTTTTATTGCAGCTCTGATAAAACAATTCATCCAGTACTGCTTTGTGTTTCTTCTGTAATGGCATGGTGAAGAAAGATTACAGCACTGACTGTTTACATTTTAACCCTAATTTGTATAACGTCCTTTCTACATTGCATGAAAATTTGCCATCTAGAGGTTGAAATTTGAACTGTATCTTTCACTGAAGTTTTCTTTTTCCCGTCGTCCGTATAAAGTATATACCAAGTTTCAACAAATGACAACAAAGAGAACAGGCTGTATGTAGGTCTTAGTAAGATCACTCAATACCTGATGTAGCAGAATTACAACAACTATATGGAATTTTCATAATGTTTCACATTACCACAACAATAGCCCTATGTTATAAGGATAATCAAAACGAACAAAAACATAATTAAGAAATTACGTGATGTTATAGAATTCAGTAAACAATTAATAGTTTTTCTAGGATTTATTTCAAAGTGCACTTTATGAAAGAATAAAACCAAGTTTCATAAAAAGCGGTTAAAATTAGCAAATTAGAATTATGAAAGTTAAATACCGCGTTTCTGCAAACCATATATATATGTATGTTTTACGGTTTTCTTGTATTAAATAGCAATGAATTACATTTTACAATAGTTAAATATAATTCGTTCTGAAAGAAAGAGTAAATGAATATTTTATGAAATAAAGCAATTAAAATTTCCATGTTGGCATTACATTAAGATTTTGTGTTTCAATTCTCATTTTGCAATTCCCATTTCCTTTCTTGTTTCCATCTTTCAACAATAATTGCTAATTTGCAGATATTACAGACACCACGCCCAAACCAAAGATCACTTTAACTGTGTTTTCAAGGAAAAGTCGTTTAAAATTTTTGATGCTGTAAAAATTGAGTAACATAATAATTATTTTTGTGTCCATCTTAGAATATTCGTATCGCTTTACCTTAGCGTAATGCAAAACATATTTGGCTTTCCTTCAATGGCTTTTCTGTATTTCGCTGAAGAATAACAGAAATTTATTATTGTCATTATTATTATTATTATTATTACTGCTAATGGTAATCGTCGTCATTATTATTGTTTTCAACTAATAAAGATTTCATATATGTGGGACCCTTTTAATTCTAATGAATAATTATTAATGCCATTATCATCGACATCATCTAGAAGTTTATAAACTTTCTGATGATTTCTTCCTTGCTGGATGTGTATATTTTTGCATTCTGAGGGGTGTATATTTTTGCACTGATTTCCTACAACGTGCACTGTACTTTTAAACGACATCAAGACAAAAAAGAAACACGCCTTAAATAAATCATAAAAATGAAGCAGTCTATGCTAAAACTCTATGCTAGTTAAAGTCTATGCTAGTTAGGCGTCTATGCTAAAACTCTACGCCAAACAAAAACTGTTGCTTCACTTTTATGACTTAAATGGTTTATTTTAAATTAAGGAAACGGAAATCATTAACGTTAAGGGACCGGTGATACCTAAATTGAATGTCAACAAAAAATATTCTTTACTGAGAGGTTTCTAGAGAATTTATACATTGAAGAATACGTGAACCCACTTTTTCCATTGCGAAAACAGAGAAATTGTTGCAAAAAGTCTGTTTCATGACCATCTTTAAAAGTTAATCTGCTTAATCTTATTAACATTATTAAGCTGACATTACAAAAATACAATAGCTGAGAGGCGAGAAATCTTGAAATATTTACTGTAATCTCCCGTAGGATTCACCTCTGAGTCCGTGTTTTAATATGAATTACCCTTTTGTTAGGAAATTTTTGTAACGATAGCTTGTTTCTTAGTTAATTCTTCCAAATATTTTTATCAACGTTTATTTAAAATAACATACTATTTCCATTTACACCGTCCAGTGCTCAAAACATTACCATAGCAAATTAGATTTAACTCGCATCAAAATTAGCTGTGTGAATATTTATAGCAGCAATAGTCAAATTATATAAAATGCAATTAATATTATTATGATTATTATTCCATTTTCAACAAAAATAACTAAGAAACAGTTTTTGTTTCATTTCCTGCATTTCTGTTGAAGATAACATGAATTAAAGTTTTAATATCTTTACCGCCACTGATGCGTTTCTTGATTTAGATTTAAAAGTAGCATGAATACATGCAAAAATTATTATAGCTGTGTTCTTGTGTTTCTTCCATTCTACTACAATAAATTATCATTAATTATTTCATATTTATTATTTAAATTTTTTCATCTGCTTCTATTTAACTTTTTATTTCTTTTTCAACTTAGCTAAGTGTTCTACTCCTGGCCTTGTCGCTTATAGTTCAAGTAAGCAAGCAGCTCAGAGCTTTTGTGATGGTCTAAGGTTAGAAATGTATCGGTTTGGGGTAAAAGTGATCACCATTGAGCCATCGGCACATAAGTAAGTAAGATATTTCTGAAAGAATAGAAAAAATTATTCTTGCGCATAATGATCATCATTTGAGTGAACCATCAATATCAAAATAGTGGCACTTTTGCATCTCTTAACTTGAATCCGAAATTTAGAAGTATGAATAAAAAAATATATAATGAGCAAAATAATTTGAAGCCTTAAATGTGAAAAACATTTAAGTTATGTTTCTACCGCACTACGTAAGAAGCGTTATCCAAACAATGGAATTATCCAGAATATAGAGATGAACCGCCGATCTCTTTTTATGCACCGATGTGTGACTTTAAATCCCTGACTCTCAAAAGGAGTTCACATTGAGAGATGGCATATTTACTTTGGCTTGGCTCTTGAATTAAAAAAAAAATGTAAAGAATATTATGGCGCTAGTGGTGTAAATTGTAACCTATAACCATTTTTATAGATGAGTTGAGTGATGAAGATTCTCTTGGCTTTAAAACAAGTTCGACGCCCATGTCCGGCATCTTGGGTTTAGTTACATGTTCAGAGAAAATTAGTATTAGTAAAAATGTTCCAAGTAGCACATGACGTAGCAAAGACATTGCAAACTGGTCCAAGAGGTTGCAAAGTGGTCGTGGTAACTTTTACGATGTCTTTACAAAGCAGCGAAGACGCAAAATATTTGCCGTCGCATCTTGGCAGTTTGTCGACGTCGCTGAAACGTCGTGATTTGACTGCTTTTAGACGTAGTCGTTTTAGCACTTTTTTCCATAGTACATCAGCGTTACTTTTAGAATGAAAACAGACTAAATCTGCCCCTTCAAGAATCTGAAGTCCGCATAAGATCCATTTTGCAATGTTTCATTACTTTATTTCATCTAAATATATTCATCTAATGAAATATAAATTTAATATAAATACTTTTGAATTTTTAAATTTATTTAGTACTAAAAATGCGTGCTAAATTATTGTTTAAAATTTTGTTAGAATAATTAATACTTAAAATATTGTTTTATAAATATTATACCCAAAATATTTAAAAATGAAAATAATCTATAAAGTAAGTTATTAAGTTATGCATGTATTTTAAAAAATCATATTTCCGAAATGAATGCAAATCACATGTTAGCAATTATTTCACTACTGAAAAATGACTTTATTTATTAATTTTGAAGTAAGGAAGAATTTGTTTGAATTAATATGCTGACATCACATGAAGCATTTTACCATACAGTGCAAAAAGTACAATTTTCACGAAGATATGATTGTGCGTGAAGATATATTTACGGATAAAAATGGGATGATTTTAAGAATTTCGAGAAAACGTCTAATATTAAAAGACGAAGCATATTCATGCATATTTAACGGCTTTTCAATGTATATGACAGAAAACTCCCCGACAGTCAGGAGAAGCAGAACGGAAAAATTAATGGAAAAAGAGAAAGAAATATTAACACTTTTCATGGAAAACGACAAAATTAATGGATTTGATAAATTACTAATAAATGCTGACATCAAAATAAGAAAAACTGTGAACAAAAATACAAAGCAAAAACTCAATTTTTGTCTTCTCCTATCGTATTCTGTTTCCAAGGACAAGCAAAAAGGGGCTGTAAATGACAGATTTAAAAAAATGTATGTCCTAAAATACGATATTCATTACCTATAAAAATTCTGATGAACTATTTGCTATGTTTTTATGCTTTTGTCCTTCGTGCATTCAAAAATGCTTAGTGTAATCTTAGTATACAGTACACTCAGGATTTGGCAACATTGGCGTTACAAATCTTTTAGCGAGCCCGATAAACATTTTTTTGTAAATATAATATTGTGAATATTGTTTTCAATTCTATTCAGTTGAAATAATTCTTCTAGACCATTTAAAAAAGATTCCATTAAATTATTCGAAACGGATGACATTCCATGTGTATTATTTACTGGATGCTTATATAAACGAACATCTGAGCTCGAGGTTGCGCGCTTTGGCTAGCTGCCAAATTCGAACAAATTGTTAACTGAGCAATGCTTTCAGACTCCATCTTATTTTCGTTTCTTCGCGGTTTTCTAATTCGCCGTCGGAATTAGAATCCTGTACTTGTAATTTCTAATAGCAGATCGAAATAAGTTATCATAATGTCACCAAATCCCATGTGTACCGTATACTAGGATTAAGCCGAATGCTTAGAAATAGGTAAAGAAATGAATGCTGAGCTATGTAATGAGTAGAGTGAATTTCTGTGGAGTGACTGATTTTCACTGTGGAGTGAATTTCAGAATGTTTTAAATTTTTTTGAAAATTTGACAAATAATAATTCTTGAAAATGATTTTGAGGCAGCTGTTAAATACTGGAGAGCTTCAATACAGAAAGAGGACAATGTACTGGAATACAATAATGGTCGGCTTATTTTGGAGCAAATGAAACTGTTCGAAAAATCTGACAAAGAAAAAAGGTACAGCAGTTATCTGATGGCATTTGCATACACTTTATATATGAAATCTACGTCATGTTATGAAGCAGTTCTTTCAAGTAATTTGATAAAGCTGCCATCTGTTAGTCTTGACTTCATGTTTGAAACTGAATCAAGCAATGACTGATATAAATAATATAGCTTATATTAAAAATAAATGTAGTGCACTGTCAATCAAAGTGCGGTTTTACTGAAAATGCATTCAGTGCAGAAGCAACAAAAATTCAAACTGTTATTGTATGTTCATTATTTTCAAAATACAAAGAAATTTTTCGACTGGTACCAGTACTTAATACATCTGCTGAAGATTTATTTAACAAAACAAGTTTTGTTGTTTGTTTGATATCATGTGTGTGTTTGATATCGGACATTATTTGAAATTTCAGTGTATGATCTGCAAAGAAAAATCGTTAAGCTTGGATAACTTATTGACTGTAGGGGAAGATTATCATAAGCTTCCATTATCCCAAACAACAGAAACCAAAGACAGTGCCAATATTTAAGTATGGTAAAGAAAAATTGTTAATCTTGGAAAACTTATTGACTGAAGGGGAAGAGTATCATAAGCTTCCATTATCCCAAACAACAGAAACCAAAGATAAGTGCAAATATTTACGTATGGTAATTAGAGGTGGTCTTAAACAACCTTCCTTATTAGTTTTTAATATTATAATCCATTGTCATTTAGACTACTTATATCCAAAAATATGAAACACATTTTCAAAAATGTGACAGTCAGCATTGAGGCGTTACTTCACTTTCTAAAATGCATATAATTAACAACGGACTACTTGGTAATGAAATTTACCAGTCTTGCAGTTGTGAATTCTTTAATGTTATTATCAAAATGCTAACTACATTTGGAAATATTTGTTTAAACAATTATACAAAAGTTTTAGCAGATAGTAAGTTTTCTGCTTCAAATGAATAAAATCTATAAAAAAAAAAAAGGCATTAAGTATTTTTATTAATTGATTGTAAAATGCAGTTTTATTATTTTTCACATAGTATTTGTAACTCCAAATACTGCATAGTTTGTACCATTTAAAAATCAGTTATATGCTGTTTGTTATGATTACAATAAAGATGATCACTTATACATCCACATATGATCGAAAAAATAGTATTAAGGAAACATTAGCATAGTGAAATATTGTAATCCATAATTATGTGAGTTTTAATTGTGTAATATTAAAAAAACACTAAATAACATTTTAATGATTGCTAATTGCAGTTTTATTACTTTTCGTTTGGTATCGATTCTTTTAAACACTGCGTAATTCGCGTTTTTTTTTAAATACTGCCGTCATGTATGTTTGTTAGATCATCTCAATAAATGAATGTCGGAAATAAGGTTTTATTTCTTTATTAAATTTAAGTATATTGTATTTTCTTCGCTTACTTTTTATGTGCTTGTTATAACAAAGAAATTCATAATAAATAGAAACAAAAAGTTTCATCGTGTGCTATTTAACGAAGAGCTTATTATCGTATACTATATTATTTAAATGATTTCTGTACAGTATCCAAGAAGTTATTGATTATAAAAAGTGGCTGAAATACTTATTGTCATCTATCACTACCTAAAATGTAAAACAAAATAGCTAATACATTTCATACGATCGAAAGAATGATGTTAAGAAATAAGATTACTAGTAAATACTGCATCCATAATTATACACTTTAATGCTTCTTTAAAAACCAACAATTTTCATTATTGGAAATTTAGTTCGTTACCTTCCTTCTGCTGGTTAATTTCAAGCACTGTAGTTCATGTTTTTTAATAGTGCGTCATGTGGTGTTGTTGTTATGTTATATTTCATTTAAATATGAAATGGAAATTTTGGGGGGTTTAATTTTAGATATATTTGGTATAAAAATTTATTGTCACATTTTAACTACTTATGCAGTCTTTCATTTCATATCTTGGAGAATAGAATTACTGTTTATATTTTTACGATGAAACGCGAATAAATTATACTTGGTTCAGGTAAATATGCTTATGTATCTTAAAACCACTGCCAATTTATCATGTAGGGAGAAATTTTCAATTGGATACACACACTATATTACGTTTACAAAGCTTCCTCTGAATTTAAAAAAAAAGGACTTTGATAATAGTGTTTATAATCAACGCCTCTTTTTACCACATATATAGATTTTAGTTTATTTACTGCTTGAGTTTTATTACTAAAACCACTATTGTTTATATTATAATAACACTTTCCTAATTACTCTCACATATAAAGATTAGAAAGAATGATGAAATCTTAACTAGAGTAGATTATCTTAACTTGAATTTAGTTATTTAAAAACACCGTTTAAAGTACTGAAAATAAATAGCCTCTTATTAATTATGTTATTAGTTTAAAGAAAAATTTGTATTAACTCTGGTTTTCAGAAATGTAAATATTAACTTAGAAAAATACAAGGAATCAAAATTTAAAATAGAAGAAAATGTATTCATTTAGCTTATTTTTCTTCATAATCAAGATGTAACAAAGACATATAACGACATTTCCAAACTATTTTCAAAAGGGGAATCATCGATTTTAGTCGCGTTAGATGTCGGATACGATGGCTTCACACCAAAATATAACCTGGAAAGACCAATAACAACTTCAACGGACCGCACGAATTTGCAACGTCATTACGACCTTGCCGTGCTACTTGAGTATGCTTTGGTTTGGTTTCATTGATTACAGCAAAGCACACCAGGGCTATCTGCCTGTCCTCCGTGAAGGACTTTCTAATTTTCGCGTGGCGAATTTTGGCAATTTTTGCAAATTTCTGAGGAAACTGGCTCATATACACGTTATACTTGGACAAAACCACTAAAACCCCCATGTATGCAGTTTGTTCTGTGGAATCAACTAGGTCGAACTACCTCTCGCGTTGCCGCCGCCTCTGTTAGGCGTGAATCTTGATGCGACGGTAATCAATTGCTATTGTCTGCTATTAAATTTCTTATAAAAGTTGTCAGGATTCAGTGTTCTGTGCATACTTTTGGCAAACATGATGGTGACATATCAATGTCCTGAACTCAACAGTGAGCTGATTCAGCTATGTTCTTGTGAGTGCTAGAATAAGATAACATAAGAAGGGGTAAAGCCTTTTATTTAACTTAATATTTACAGCAACTCCCAGCTCGGAGTGATAACATAAAAATATGACGCGCTTGGTCTAAACTGAACAAAAAGCAATTTAACTGAACTTCAGTAGACATTAAATAGTCTCGGTCACAGAGCTTAACCGAATTGGCCTATGTATGGTGCGTAGCAAGCCTTAGCTAAGTACTACGCACTTAAATCCTCAATCAATATTGAGTAAATAGCGCTAAGGCGTAAATTTAAATACTAACTATTCTGGCGAACGTCTCCGAGCGACCTGGTGTGATACTAAAAGCTATCTCACACTAGAAGTTTTCACTACCTTTAATACAAACCTTGGCTCCAACAAATAGCCTAAAGCTGAAACCGTGCGCTCATCTGAAGGGAAGTTGAATAAGAGTTTACGAAGGGTACTAAATAAAAAGAAATTTGGTTAGTTTAACTTAAAACCTTACAAAGTACTCTGGTGTCGTTCTCGTTACTAATGAATAAAATGTTTTTCCTCAGCCAGTTATATCTGTTATTTGTTCATAAATAGCTTTATAATAAACAAAAATATTTAAAATTAATAACCACAAATAAAGTAATTTTAAGTATTTTAATTCCTTTGTTTAATAGTCGAATCATTAAAGTAACAGCGGATAATGTCTATAAAGTTTGTTTTACAATAAAGTAGATGACAGTCATTCGTCTAAGAATCGTTAATAATTATACTGTAATGTCGGTAATGGTAATTTTAAACGATATACTTCGATGTAATAAAAGTTCTTTTTTCTTTTTTTCTTTTTTCAGGACTAATTTTGTGAATAAAGAAATGATTTTTGATTACTTAAATAAAGAATGGGAAGAAACTGCTCTTGAAGTGAAAGAAGTCGTGCCTGATGACACTTTGGAGTTTGAAAAGCGTGTTGTAATGAATATTACAAAATTTTCCACAACATATGACCTGAAAAGGAGCATCGATCAGTTTGAAGAAACAGTAATAGCAGTGAATCCGAAATACTCTTATAATCCTGGAACTCTGCATTCTCGTATTGCTTTATGGTTCTTGAATATAATTCCTAAGCCATTTGCCGAACTTTTCCTCGCAATAGTATTAATGAGATGAACTCTATATGTGTTGGTACTTTCTAAAAATGGATTACATTATGTTATTATTCTAACAGTGGATTATATGATGTATAGGGTGCGGCAGCGTTCATAGTAGGATATTAAAAGCACACCATAAGCCAGTAACTGTAATTTATTTATTACCTCTTTAAGTCAATTAATAGTTAAAGGTATGCCATTTACTAATGTGTAAGTCATTGTCCATTCGTGGATTACTTTTTGAATATGATGCCCCCTCTGCACAACACATTCATCATTGGAAACTTGCCATAACTAATTCGGCGTAACGTATTCCCTGGGACATAGCCGACGGCCGTTCGGATGCGATCCTTCAAGTCAGGAATGGTAGCACAACGTGTTCGGAAAACTTCTTGCTTCAGGTGCCCCCAAAGTCAGCAGAGATCAGGTGAGCGAGGCGGCTAGGAAATGTCACCAAAACAGGAAATTACTCTACCTGGAAATGTCTGTCGCAATGGTCCGCCCATCTGTAACATTCCCATAACGTCCCAAGTTGAAATGTTGCCGAAATAGACGCTGGGTAGCAATAACTAAGCAGTTATTTTTTAAATAACTTTCAACAGCAAAGGCACGATGCTGTGCACTCCAACCATCCATATCACTATCACACTCGAAATGGCAGCTCATTAGTAAACGAATGCGGCATGAGCTGGCGCGCATTCATGCAGTACGTCGTTGTGTCAAATTACGCTATGATCGCTGCGGCACCCTATATAATAACGGAATAATTATGCATAATAATGAATTACATTATGTTGTAATAATGGATTATATTACGTACTAATGTGTTAGTACTTTCTAATAATGGATTACATAGCATTTGTTAGCTCATGTTCTTATAAGATGTACGCGAAAATTAATCACGTTCAGTTTAATAAAGAAATCCCAGAGATGTCTAATTTTATCAAATTACTACTTATTCAAATTGAAATAGAGATAAACTTATCATACTCCAAAAGTAAAGGGCACCAATGATAGAATAATGAAACTCTAGTAGTTCGCCACGAGTTCAACTTCGAATAAACGAGTTGGCTGCGTGAATATTCTCTTGTTTTTACACATGCGTAACATGAATTTTCTATTACATATACTCTAAAAAGGGCATCATTTTTTTCAGGCATATAGCTGTCAAATGCTTTGCCATAGCCAATTTAATGCAGTTAAAGGCAAAATCTTTAGAAAATACATTCACAATGGACTACCATAAGTAGAAATAATATTTATCTTGCGCTTTATTACTTGAGGTGCATTATTGAACCTCTATGAGATGCCACGCATAAGCACAGAATTCAAATATCCGCATTTCTATCAAATAGTTCTCACGTGCTTTTAATATTGTTACGGAATGCCCAGCCGCGGTAAAATAGCTTCCCCGCAAGGCGGATTTAGGGTTTCCAGAAAATGGCAAGGGAAGGCAGGTTTGCCAGATTTGGCTCAAAATCGTCCATTTGACGACATTTGGCATCAAAATTGGCGATATACCATAGACGGAAGGAGAACATTCTAGAACGACTTCTTCCCAGTTTGGCCCAGAATGTTCTCGAAAGCAGCCCAAAAGCAACATGAACCCTAAATATACACGGAGTAGCAGCCTACTCTACACGGAGTAGTAGCCTACTCCTACACGGAGTAGTAGGAGTAGCATCGCGAGACTGTCAAGTTGATCGTCAAATGTATCGCAAGTTGGTGCATCGAGAGTGTGCATCGTTGAAGCTATCAAGTGTATCCTCGAGTGCATTGCCAGTTGTACTGTGAAGAGTCGGGAGAGTACGCTGAGTTCCGAGATCGACCGAACCGAGCCGGGAACCGTACTCTAGGTGCTTTGCTGTAAAGCTGTCTTCACCGTTAGCCTGAAGCCTGTGTTGTTGATTGTTTCATTGTGTTTGACGCAGTTTTCCGACGACTATAAACGTGTTTTTGGAGCTGTCTTGAGTAAAACTGGTTAATAAACTGTGTTTTTATTCTTCAGAAAGTGTTGTTGTTAATCACTCCAAATTGCACGACCACGTATAGAAACCCAACAATATAGTTGAATAAACAAATGATCAAAAATTGTCATCAAATCAGGAATGCCTCCTTGAAAGACTTTCTAAGAAAACTTGTCTGTATTGTTACGTGTATTTGAGTTCGGAATGGACTGAATGCACACAGAACCGACGATAGCTAGGTAAAATTCATTAAAAAAAAGAAAAAAAAAACTGATGTCTGAGAGTTCTGGAACTTTTTATAAAAGCACCTTTACAGCTCTTCTCAGTATCACAGAACACAATCAGTAATTACATTTCAAACTACTAAGAACGTAAGACACAACTCACTGCAACGTGCATCTAAAAGGTCACCAAGAAGTATCCACTACCTTCGATTTCTGGAAATAGCTGGAAAACATATAGAGTTACACAGGCATATACCGGTTCATATAGGGTCGGGTGGACGTACAGTTACACTGGAATTAAATTGCAGTTATACAAAGGTAGGAAAAAATGTCGTCAAATGCCGTGCGAAGTTTGACAAACTCTGGCAATCTTTCACCAAATTTGGGACAAAAAATTAGTCGTTGAAACCATCACCTGCTTGGCGGTGAGATAGTCGTTAAATGGTCTTGCCCCTGTAATCTCATTTTTCCAGCGGAGCTTCACTTACTCGAGGAATTTTATGTTTTATTATACAAGAGACGCTACAATTTTACACGTAATTTTACTAATTAGTTGCATATAAACAATATTCGTAACAGTATTCATGTTACACATGGGGGAAGCCACGAAACCAACCATGCAACCAGCTTGTTCACCTGGAATGGAATCCGAATAAAACTCGCAGCCTTTAGAGGCCTTAACCACTCAGCCACGGGGCAAGATTCAAACAATGCATTGACAATTTATTTAATTACATACCGTGGCCGACGTGTTATCAAGAACCAAACTGGATGAAAATGGTCATCAAATAAAATGTGCTATGTTAACTTGTAAAGTTTCAGATTCCCGGGAGGTAACCATTTCTTAGTTGTTAAAGAATCCAGAATGCGGTAATATCTATGCTTATTTAAAAGATCCAGATAACTTGATAACTTTGAACATGAAGACCTTGCAGTAATCAGAACTAAAGCCCAAAATTACATTATTATAGATAATTTTGCCGTTTTATACTAAATCGACAAATGAAAACCATCTCATCCCAGCCACACTACGGCTGACGCACCAATGGCTAATGGCTGACCATTTAGAAATGAGGAAAACGGTGCGTAGGGTACGCGAGGCGGTGTATGTTTCCAAAACTACAGAATGTAGTAGTAGTAACGGAGGATGTAGGCACCATCCTTCTACCATTACGGTTAATCGGTTCTGCCCACGTCCGTCCCCTTGTTTAGTATTTATTAATAATTCTTAGAATTTTACATTGCCATATATTGTGGCTGATTTACAAATAAAGGCTATACAATAATTGTATTCACATTATTAACGTAATTTATTACATAAATTTTGGTTGGAGAATTTTCTCTAATGAATTTCGTTCTTTTGTAATTTATCTTTATTTTTAACAGACTATGTATTATTTTTTTATTGTGAAGTTTTTCTTTTGTTATTTGAACCATTTCAGCTAGAATGTTATATAAGTCCTCTTGCTAAATTCCTTTCATTTCGCTGCAGTTGTTTCATGAGTTTCTCGCTTTCAAGTTTTCTATTTTATTCCTCATCTTAAAACCTTATACAGTGAAACCTCGTTACAACAATATTTTAGGGACCAAATAAATATATTGTTGTAGAGAGGCATATTGTTATATCGAGGCCCACATATTTTGAGCATTTAATAAGAGTTTTTTTTATTATTATTAGTTTAAGGTGCATAACATACTTTTAAGTCATATTTAGAAGAAATAATTTGTAAAAATACTAATAATAGTGGTTTAAATACTAAAAAATAAATAAATAAGATAAATTCAGAAAATAAGCAAGAAATATTCACATACCTGAAAACACTTTTTTATTGAAAATATCCAATATTTTGTTTGTTTATTGATTTTTTTAACTGTTAAGTTCACCATACTGTATGCATTGAGTCTTTGCACGAAATGTTCTTCATTTGTCGACGGAAGGCTTGAAAAAATGTCCGTAGAGATTCACAGATGAAGAGCTTCTGAGATGACAATAAGGACTGCGATGGACCTGTATTATCATCATCATTAATATCATCATCATCTTCATCATTGTTTCCTATCTCATCAGTAATTTCAGAGAGAATATCTTCATCATAACTCCTGCGAAAATCATAAGATCATCATCTGCTGTAAATAGTCTTTCTATACTATTCCAAACTTTTTCCGCTGTTTCCTCAAGTTGGGATACGGATTTTTTGATGTGCAAAACACATTCTTGACATCTGAGAGATCATTGTCTATGGAATTTTCATCATTATCAATTTCTTATCTTCCATACACAAAGACCGGCCTTTTTCCAGCAATTCAAATGGTTTTTTCTGTTACTTCCCACCAACTCCAGCAATATTGTCACACGCTTCTTGGCATTTACGCTTTGAAAGGGTCTTTACTCTATTTCAAGTTTACAAGTATGGAGTCCAGCAACCGTTTTCTGTATATCCTTTGAAGCACTACTTAGCCCATATCAAGAGGCGGTAAATTGAAGTGCAATTGGCGGGAAAAAAGCGATTTCGATACTTGTAGCTTGGAAATGACGTGTGAGCACCGCAGTTATCTATCAACAAAACGATTTTTTTCTTTCTTTTCTTCATTTCATTGTCTAACTTCTGTAACCATTCGGAAAAAATTTAGACGTCATCCAAGCCTTCTTATTTGCTTTATACTCCACGGGAAGACTTTTCACGTTCTAAGCACCTTGGCTTCAATGATTTACCAATGACGAGAGGTTGTATTCTATGCGTTCCTGTGCTATTTGTACACAGAAGAACAGTCAGTCTCTGCTTTGATTTCTTCCCTCCATAACACTTTTCACCCCTGAATGCCAGGTCGATCGGGTAGGTTGGAAAAACAGCCCAGCTTCATCTGCAATTAAAATGTCTTCTGGAGCATACTTTCTAAGATTTCTTTCATCTTGTTTTGCCGCCATTCATTTGCGTCGTTTATCGGGGCTGACTTTTCTCTCCGTGAATTCTTGGAAAGTTATTCCATGACGATCTCGAAAACGCATTAACCAACCATTGCTAGCTTTGAAGTTTCATCCCTAACATTGCTGCAAATTTCCGTGCTTTTGCACATAATAAAGGTCCATTTATTGGGACATTTGTTGCTCTCATCTCTGAAACCATTTTAAAACAGCAGCATAATGTTTTCATTTGTCACAACTTTCAGTCGTTTTCGCTCTGAGTTAATTTCATTTGAAGTTACAGCATCTTCGATTTGCTTTCTCTTCTTTAGGAACGTTGCAACTGTAGATTGCGATAATCCATGTTTCTTAGCCGCATCATTCTGCTTCATTCCCTCATCAATATCAATGATAACGCTCAGTTTATCCCGAAAAGATAGTTGCTTTCGCCCTGCCATCTTAGAGAACGATATCGCGTGAGTAGTAACCCACGGTAACCGGCCGGCGGAAGTGACGTCACAGAAAAGGGAC